GATACACTGCATAGCCAGAGGCTATTTACCTTTCTAATTTTTAAGCAAACCAGATGGAATCTGTTGCTGGATAACCACTCCCTGCAGCTGTCTTTGCTCCAGCTCATACCTGTCAGTCTAACAGAGCACAACAAAAACRCTGCTTTCTTTTCTCTCTGTGTGTCCTTGTGAGTGATAGGAAGACGCTCTCTGCTGATGTGTATCAAGTGATCCCTGGTACCTTTAAGCTCATGTCAGCTGTACATTTCTAGTGCGTGGATTAATTATACATGGCTTGTGCAAGTTGAGAGCCCTCGGTGGGAGCAAGCAGGCTCATTTGCACTGAGGACACAGTACCTAGTGGTCACAGGATCAGAGGGTTTGATGGGAGCTTTTGAAATCATCTAGATGACCTCTGTCTCCCTTGAGAGATGGTTTTGTTTTTTTCCATTCGGTGCTTCAGTGGCAGGCTTAAATCCTCCTGACTAGCCTGTTCTAGGGTTTCAATATCCTAAACTGCTAAAGCATTTTTGCCTGATGCCTAATGTCAAGCTACCTGCTCTATATAAATCAATTTCTTCATGTCTTATCTGCTGCTGTGGGCAAAGAACAGGTGATTGCCCTGCATCTGTACTGTTACCATGCCTCTTCTCTTGCTCTGAACGAGCCATGTGCAATTGTATAAAGGAGCCATCAGCGCGTACCATCTTATTAATAACGCGTAATTATTCACAGACAGCGCTTGGCAATAGAAAGAGGAGCCGGTGGGGGTGGGTTTCTATCAGAGCAAGAGGCATTAGCAGGTAATGTTGCTCGACACCTTTCAGAAGGTGCTTAGATCTGTGTCCTCTCTAATACAGGAATTTAGCAACTTCACATTGCTTATCAAATATTTATGAGAAGAGGGACGAGCCCCTGGACTTGCTTCAGACTGGAATAGAGTGCAGGCTTGTGCTAACACTTTCAACAGGGTGAACTCCACTGCAAAGTCTTGACTGAAAGGCAGCCAGGCTGCCAGGTAACACTGGGGAAGGAGAGCTGCATCCACAGCAAGGGGACACAGGGTTTGTGACAGCCTGTGTTGTAAGGCACGGTCACTCACAGCCATTTTTGCTCATTTTACTACAGACAGTGGTAGATGCTTGCAAATAGGAAACTCTTTCCATTGATATTGCTGGGCATGGTGCCAGGCTTCGGAGATGAAAGAGTGATACTTGGGAACATGCAAAGTGATAATGGCATGAAGAAGCACTCAGATGGGCCTTTATTTCAGATGCTGTGGTGACARGTCTCCACACAGACCCTAGTGCTGTAAGCAAACAGAAAATAAAAGTCCTTGCAATTTTTTCAGGAAATTAAATGTCTGAAGAAGAAAGTCCCATATATAGTTGGTGTACCAAGAGTTTCACCAGTTACCTGTTGTCACATTTTTCTCTAGCTTATATGCAACTTGGAAGCTGTGACTGAACAGTGCACGCACGGCAAATTATAATGTGCATGTTTTATTATAGAAAATGCAGACATATTGTGGCTCATGCTGTAGGGCTTAAATCATCACATTAGGTCTTTATAAAAAATGGAGCTCGCTCAGCCTCATGGGAAAGGCATTTGCATCTTCAGCATTACAGAGGCAACAAACTTCATCCATAAAGATGTGCTTAGAACAAATGGCAGCAAATTGTGGACACATGTTTTGCTTTAATTGGTCCTCATCAACTCAATCTAGCTAGTGACTTCAAAGAGCTCTTACTAAGAAACCTCTCCCAAATTTTTTGTCTTAATCTTTTTATGTTTCTTTTTTCTTTTAATGTCTTAAGAGATTTCAAATTAAATAGAACCTTTGAAGATACAGTATGAAAGCACTACTTCTTTATRGTTTTACATCACATGTTTAATTACTTATTCATAAATTATGAATGASTAGAGGTAAAGTAGTATTGCCCGAAGTCCCTGTCCTGGGCCAAGTTGAGTGCTGCAATTTTTACAAACTCTACCTCTTGACAGCTGGGATCAGATTCAAGCCAGCTACAAGTCTATTCAAAAGAGCAGCTGTTGCTAGTGCCATTTTCACATGCTATTCTTGATCAGCATGAATGGATGGAATGTGCTCTTTTTGGAAAGCACASCAAAAGAATATGGATGGCAATAGAATGCTTACTTAACTCATGTAAAATTCACCAAAAAAAAACCCAGACACAAGCTACAATCAAAATCTTATTTATCTRTGGGTCTGATTTTTAAAAACACAGCTAACAAATCCCACTGTTTGAAAATCAAACCAAWAGCTACATAAGATTTTTCTTCCAGCTGCAAATAGAAGAAATCCTGTAGAGTACAAGAGTCCTGTTTTGGACACTGCACAAACACAGCGAAACACAGCACAAATGAACAGAGGTGGAAAACAAATCACAGATGAGTGTAGCCACTGTGAGCCCAGTAGCACAGCTGAGACTCAAGAAAATTTGACAAGCTTAATAACAACACACCACTTTGGGGGTGAAACTGCATCTTCCTACATTTCCTTTCCACAGGCACATCCACAAGCACACACAGAGTCTTGTCTCWCCAGCTGATCACTGTTCCTACAAAAACCACCAACACTTTGTTCCAGCTATCCTAGTTTTGTATGTTTATGCATGCCCATTGTATATATATACAAGAATTCATCCATGGGGCACTTCTCTCTATAGCYTCAAACCTCAGTCACTCACTCACACCACAGCAAAAAGATGAAAACACTGCCACGTTCTGAGGCAGCACCACAGACCCACTTGTTGCAGTTGCAGATGAGGAAGGCAGGCAGGCGGAAGACATTGGTGAATCAGCCTGAAGCAGAATATCCTCTTTTGAGATTTTCTCTGAAGGTTTGCTTTTTCTTCAGCTGTATAGCAGCAGCAATTTTCCTCTTTTGTCCAAATGAAAAAAGACCATGCTGAAGGCCCTTCTTATACCATAAAGAACAGTTACAGGAAACACATTAAAGTAATTTCCTCTTCCTTGGACAGAATGCACTCTCTCGGAGTTTGTTTTTAGCACTATGATGTAACTGGGGAAAAAGTGAGCTTAGGTAACACACCTCAGTGCATCTAAAAGAAAGCTGATATAATAGCAATTTAGTAATTTTGGGGATCTTGCCATAGGCTTTTAGAAACCAACCAGTAAAAAAAACTCATTCCAGATGCCCAAGATATCTCTTATACAGCTGTAGTTGTGCATTTGTTAATAACTACATTTATTACATTTTGCTGCACTCAGAGAACTAAAGCAGTTTGTTTATCTGTTAGAAGCAGTATGTTCAGAATCCATCTTTTCAAATTACATCACAGAGCTGGCAATATTGTTGCTTATTCATGCTTTATTTATGTGTGTGTGTATATATACACATAGATCGTTTTCTTGGTTTTTCCCTCTTTATTATCAGTATTCGTATATTTGCCATCTATCCTTTCAGCCCTGAAAAATACAGCTTAAAGCAGCAGGGATAACAAAGGTGAATGCTGCCAAGCAAGGAAACATGGTATTRAAAAAATAAAAACAGTTACAGAAAGACTCAACACCGTGGTAGGTTGGGTGAACAATAYACTTTCTTTTCCCTACACATTGGCAGAAATGTATTGTTACAGCTCTGTTTCATATTTTCTTTACAATGAACCTAATGTTGGTCAAGCAACAAAGTTAGTTTTAGAATTAAATCACATTTCAATATGGCAAAATTCAGCAAAGTATCCTGGTAAATTTTTTACTTTGGTAAAAAATACCATAGSCCCCACTGCTTTCAGCAGGTTTCTGATTAAAACTCTCCTTGAGGACCYCTTCCCACACTGCACTCCAGCCAGGCATCCAACCTCTGTGAGCCAAAGCTGTGCTGCTGGGCACGGTCATGTAGGCACATCTGGCCCAGCTTTCTCAAGCAAAATAACCTTGGATGCACCTCTGGAGTGTCCCCTCTAATGTCATGAGGACACAGCTCTGTTTCTCCGATGTCATAGGAAGATAAGAATAGGAAAATCAACCAACTTAGTAAAGCAAAAGAAATCTCTCATTCCATACCCTGATGACAAAGTGTAAACGAAAGACATGATAGTAGCCATAACAGCCCACAAAATGWTCCTTCGATTCAATTTCCACACATTCCAATAACAGTCCTTCCATTGCTCATTCCATGCATACTAAGCACAATTTCCTCTTGCTTGGGCCAGAATAAGAGAAATCCATACAAAATTGTCTATAAAAATATCTGCATTGGAGTGTAACATTCTGCCAAATTGAAGTGACAACATAAAAAAAAACCAACCCTTTTTTCATTTTTATTGGAAATTAGCAATTTCTCTTGCAAAACATAACAGCAAGTGTTTACATTTTGTCTAGTCCTACTTTATTTAATCTCTACAGTTTTGAAGAAAAGTTGTTRCTCATGATGTTTACACTGAAAATGTAAATGCCCTGAGAGCATCAATACTGTTTTACACCTAAAACCTTCCCTTACTTCCATGAACAGGGGAGGAAGCTGCTGWCAACACATTCTAAATTCCATCTGACATTTTTGCTGGACTTTCATATTGTATGGACTCTTCTGACAGCCAAAACTTAGAAAAAAAAAGAAACTTGTCATCTCAGGAAGTAACACAGAATTTAGGTTTGTGTGAGCCCAGATTTTCCATCACTCTTACAGCTTTTATTGAGCGGTGACCACCAGAAAAGCCAAGTGGGATGGATCCCTCTTCCCAAAGTGTTGCATTGTTTCTTCCAGCCACCATCCCACATCTCTTTTTTCTGGGGGTGTTCACAGTCACAAGGCACAGCAAATCAATTTTACTCTTGTACAAAACTCTGCAGAATCAGCTGATCTTTCAACTAATTTTTTAATACATCTGCAAATATCTCAGACAACAGGATAATTTAAGTTCCATATGGTTCCTCCAGGTACCTGAAGCAAAGACACGTGGTTAAGTACTTCCCTGAATTGTGCCCTGCATTTGAATAGTTCCTTTCTTACAGAGTAAAAATTAGTATTCACTTACTAAACAGTTGGCAATAGAGGACCTGTAAGCTTCTCTTCATGGTATCATGTGGTCCTGCTGGTCTGCCAGTTTATTCATGATTCTGTCAAAAAAAAATCAAGAGAAGGAGAAAATTATGTATGACAAAATAGAGGCTGCCTTGTAATATCTGTCCATTACCAAGTAAGATGAAGCTTCACAGGAGAATTTTTTTGATAAGCAATGGGAAATTACCCAATTGTACTTTGCTTGCTTTAGCCATGCTCTCCAAGAGTTTGCCAGGGAAGGRTAGAGTTATGGCCAAACAAGGGAAAGTTTCTCAAGAATATGCAAAATAAACACACTGAAAATTACTTTCATGTCATGCTTAGGGCTTGATAAAATTAATCTTATAGGAGTCTTTTTAGTCTGGAGAAATGGTCCTCAGTGGAGAAGCAAAGGCGAGATGCAGAGACCACCAGGCAGCTGTGCTGGGCACACAGGGCTGTAGTTTTCCTTCTGAGCCTTCCTTTTTTAAATTCCTCAAGAAGTACAGCAAGGGGAAAGCACATCCCTCCTTTCCCAATGAAAATTTCAGTGGCACCAAAGTGAAGGTGATCCCAAATTCTGCTAAAATGGTAGCACAGAGGGCAGCATTGTCCTGGCATTTTTAGCTTCACCTACAGCAGCTGTCGTAGGTCATATCCCTTCCTGACATACCCCATCAGCTGGGGATGATACCTGGTATGGAGAGCCTTCTCTATGTCTTCAGACATTTCCTGAATCTTCTAAATGGAACTGTCTTGGTGTAGAAGGGAATCTCATAATTCTTGCCTCTGCTGTCTGAAGATGTGACCAAAATACAAAAATATGACCACCCTACCTGCCTGCCTTTGCCCACTTGGGGAGTAACTAATAACATTTTATGTGTCCTCAGATGGTATTTTCAAATACTTGACATGGATATATTTTCACCTCAGTTTAAAAAATATTATGAAAAAATAAATGCCCACCATGTTGATATTAATTATTCACATCRTGAGGAAAATAAATGCATAAATCAGAAGTGAAAAACAAATGCAGTCCCAAAGCACTTCTGTGAGTAATGCCTCACTGAGTACTCAAAGACAACACAGCCTTTAAGCTCTTTCTTACAGAAAAAAGTATTTGCTAAACATTCAGAACCAACTTGGAAAGGCAGGACACAGAGATCACTCTGCTAAAAGGCCCCTGGTCAATATTAAATAGTGTGTAGTATCCTCTGGCCTTCAGTTCAACACTKTCTCATCTTCTGAACTCCTGGGGACATTTCTGAGTCATTTTAACATGCATATAAATCTTTCAGTGCCTATTTAAAACACAGCCTTGAAGATATGAGATAAATAAGTCAAACCAATGAATAACACCTCTGAACTGCATAAATGCTGCAGAGTTTGGGAAATCAGAACTGTATTTGACTTTTTTTTTGTGGAAACCTCAAAAGGATTGTGATTTTTCTTGCCTGAAACAAAAGATGCTTGGGTTTTGTTAAGTTTTTCCATGTGGAAATTTATGCACACAAATGCTGTGTGTTTGGATTCTTCCAYACTTTCCATCAAAAACTGGACCTTAAAAACATCTAAGTAACTCACAGAAATGTTAGTATTTGCAAGGTGTTTTCTCCTAAATGGAAGGAATCACCTATGAATTAGTGCACTATTTTTCATCAGAATAGGAGTTAGATTCATGCTGTAATTTTGTCATGAAAACTTGTTAAGGGACTTCTGCTCCCCACCTTTTCCTTGTGGTTTGCCAAATGAAACAGATGAAASAGATGTAGTAAAAAACCTCAGTATYATACAACACTCTTCAAAGATGCATATAGAAAAAAATCTATGTTTAGCAGCCACTAAGATATTAATAAAAACATATGCAGGAAAAGACAAGAACCAGATAAGCCACTGACAATGCAGATGCCATATATCCAAGTATTCTGCTTTTAAGTTTCTGTGAAAACAGGATTTACAAGCACTGACCCATCTGAAGTCATAAAAATAAAATGGAAAAAAGGGAGAATCTGAAATTGCAACCCTAAATCCACATTATTGACTTTGTATAATTTGAACTATGCTTGGCAACATRGATGTGAGACAGTTTTTGGCAGTGAACCACAATTTTTTTTTGTATTTCTCCTCCATCTCTTTATTAATGCTATCCCTAATAAATAAAGGTATTTGCTTATAAATACTGGTATTGTGAATAAAATAAATTGTATGGTTTTGTGTATATATTTATTTAGATTGGTAATTCACCCTGTGCTAAGAAATAAGAACTAGTGTGCATATGGGGAAAGAAACAAAGTTTTTTACCAGAAAACTTGAATTACAATCTTTCATTGGTCTCAGAAGATTCATCTTTTTGACCATAGAATGACCATAGAATTACTTAGAGAACTCAGAGAACATGCATAAACCAAGTGTTGCCAAGAATTTGMAGTGTCTCAATTTCTTCAAAGACCTTAGTGTGACTTGGGCTTAATAGAAGAAAACATTTCAGATGGAAGAGACACACAATAATTATTTGGTTCAACTAACTTAAATTTAAATGTGTGGAAAACACTGCAACTAAACTTTCCAGTTTTTAATACTGTATTTCTTGTGTACAGGCATTGCACAATGTGCAAAACAAGGATTTGTTTTATTGTAAGGCAAGAGATATCTAATGGGATTTATTTGTGAGACTTTGGAATCCCAGGAACACCAGTGATGGTTTTCCAAAGGCAGAGACTGCTTGCAATGRCTATCAAGGCTGCACAAAGCTGAGGCAGATGAACCAGCCTCATCAAGTCCCTGAATCAAGAGAAACCTGACCTGAAAACAGAGGAACCACTGCTGCACCCACCCAGGTGAAAGCCCCAGCAAGCCCATTACCCTGACTTAAACATGAGCTGACAGCAGGACAGTGGGAAATGATTTGTGAAACAACCTCTACAAGGTAATCTTTACACCCTGACATAGCTTGCTCTATCCCCAGCAACCCTGAGTGGAATAAATTACCTAAGGTGCCATATTTTTTTTAAACTTGACAATAACTTTTCCTTCCCTATCTCCTCCACATCATACAATCTTCCATTTGATTATTTAGAGTCTTTTTCAAGCTGAGGAATTCCTGTTTTTTTTTGGGTTTTTTTTGTATATACCTCATGTCTGATAGTCTCCATGCCTTAAGCTGTACATACTCCTTCCAGCTCAGCTCTGAGGATTAGGGAACAAAATTGCAGGCAGCCACAAAAGCTTGGGTGTGTACTGGATTTTCATATTGCAAGGTGATATTTCCTGTTTCTTCTCTATTCTGCTCCCAATTGTGCCACAATGCTCTTTGTCTTCAKCACTTCTCCTGAGCTCTTCTCACTGTTTTACAGAGTTTCCTGCTGCAAACCCYTAAGTAACAACTCATCTGGAGACTATCTTCAGGTATTTAGAGCTAGGACTAATTTTTGTGGATGTGACTTTGCAATTATCGTTAGGGAATTTCATCTGCCATTTTTCCTACCCAATCACTTACTACCACGACTTTTCTGAGAGACAGCAATGAAGGGCTGAGTTATTATTATTATCATTATTATCACCGTTCTCATCATCATCATTATCATTTAAAAGAACTTTTTTTAAGTTGCCATAGTTTCTACAATAATACCATCCAATCATGGAAACTGTTCTGCACCTCTTAGAAGACAAAGCAAAGTCTCATGGTCAGATATTTCAATAGCTGCAGAGGAAACCTCCTTATTGAGTATCAATCCATGTCCAGCCATCACAACACTCTCATGGCCCTGCAGACACATCTAATCCAAAAATTATTTCCCTGGGTTGTAGTCTTTATCTTATAAATATGTTTTGCAGGTCTTCTGTGACAAATACATTTATTTATAACAATCATGAATGGTTACAGATTGAGTGGCTGTGTATATGCAGTTGAGAGCACTCTGGTCCACCAACCCATGTTCTCGTAGGTGTTTGAGTATGTGACTTTAGGCTCTAATAGATTAGCAAAGCTGTGCATATGCTAATGGAAAATGCAGACACAGAGCCAGTCCTTGACTTTGGGCAGTTTAATTTAAAACCAGAGTATCACCACCTGTTTTAAAGATAAAAATTGTTACTTACAAGGAAAAAAGATACAAAGAATGAGCAAAACCAGAAGTGGTCCTGGAGAAAAATTCAGTTGGAAAATGTGTGCTAAACTTCAATAATCCAARATCTAGTGTGAGTCTCTGAGTTTTGTATCCATTTTATACTCCTCACTCATTTCTTCACTTCCCTGAGGTTTTTCAAGAAGAGACTTCTTCAAAATATTAATTTTAAAAAATACTGAGCTTTAGTGATTAAGAAGCCACTCTGAGTATTTCAGAGAATTATGTTATCTTTGGGATTTTTTCTTTAAAAKTATTCTAAACTTAATTTCCTAGATTTTTGGTCTCCAAGTGAATTTGCATATTCCCAATTGCTCTGAACTYCCACGGTGTTTCCTTTGAAAACGAGGAAATAAAGGTGTAATTATGGCTTTTGTTTCAGTTCTAGATTGTAATTCATATTTGTGCACCTCCTTTGTTTCAAAGTAAGAATGKTAGTGCAAGTTTGTAGTCAAATAACTTTCACATTTGAAATATCCATCTTCAACAGTTAAATTAGAGGAAATTTGTATCCAGCAAAGGTGTCACATGCCCAGCCAMAGACACCTGTGGCTGAAAATATTGGTTAAGCACTTGGACTTTGATATTTTGCATTTTTTAGTACACARTATTTCACATAAAGTTTATCTTACCAAGATGATGAATAGCAGTGTGAAATCCCTGTGGACAGCTAGCAATATTGTCTTTCACAGTAAGTGATCYCCTCAACATCTCAGTTAAATTAAAGAGGACAATGAAGACATAATGATGGATTGAAGACAAAAGAGTCCAAAAGAGCTGACAGCTCCCAGCCATTAATTATGTCTGATGGGAAAAAAATGCCAACCAGGCCTTAAATTAAAGAAGAAATAGAGGAGAAAGAGCAGAAGATGCACATTGAGGCAAAGCTAACAGTCAGTGGAGAACCCTTTTTCTTTGTCTGKCAAGCAGAAACCAGGAGCCTGAAATAAAGA